TTGTTTTGTTTTGTTTTTCTCCGGTACCGGGAACCGAACTCACGACCTTGCGCTTGCCAGGCAGGCGCTTTTGCCGCTGAGCTAAATCCCCAGCCCCTTTAATTAGGTCTTAAAACAAGGTAACAGTTCAATAGCCAAAAGTGGACAAGACTCCTTTAAATGAAGAGAATAATATGAAAAACAACTTAAGGGAAATGGGAGAGAAATTTGCAAAGCTAACATGTGGACTACAGGATAGAATAATAGTGGGGAATAAAACAGTAATAAGAAGCAACAAAATAAGGCTGAAACTTTTATAAGCAACGAAAAGCTATAAAAAGCACCATGATCGAGAGCAAATGTATAAAAAAGCTGCTGTAGGCAACTTACATTAGTAGCTGCGTGCAAACACATTTGGGTTCTAGGGGAATGTTCTGGTACTTCTGAGAAAAAGTTGAGTTTTAGGCTAAGACAAGAAATGAGATGAGTGCAACTATCTACAGAATATTAATAATGATAAACATAGGTGGGTGCTTATGAGGTGACAGCTTTTCAATTTTGTCAGTGAATCTCAGCTATTCAGAAGTAGCTACTATTTCCATTCTACAGAAGGATAACTAACTTAGCTGTAATGACATAGCAGAAACATAGCTGCTGGAACTTGAATCCAGATTCACTAACTGCTGAAGCCTACAACTTTAACCTACGTGATCTCTAATACTGTAAGCTTATACACTGAATGTTAAGGAAAAATTGAAGCCAAAAGGACACTGAGATTTAAAGTGTAAATAATTGCAAAAAAAAATTAGTGGTCATCCATCAAAACTAAACATAGAACAGTAGGAGAAAGAGAAAGCTCGGGAAGATTAGTCAAAAGCCCTACTTTTACCTAAGCAACAACCCTGACTCCTGAAGAGTATTACAATTTCAACATAAGATGCTTCTTTTACCTATTATTCATAGGTTCTATTTTAGTTTCTAAACGTGTAATGTATACTTTGAACTACTTGAACTACTTCAATGTTAATTCACTGAAATTCTAATTTAACAGGTGACAAGTCTCCAGACAAGAATCCTAAGGTACAGTTAGTGATATCATATGAGGATGCGAAGCTGACCATACTGGTGAAACACATGAAAAACATTGTAAGTTTATTATATATAATAAGAAACATCTAATCTTATTTTTAGAAATTACTTCACTCCTTACGGCAGTTAGTGTCAACTTTAGTAAGAAGAATGGCTCTAGCAACCACGCTTAAGTGAGGAACAATGAACTGATTACAATGTTTTTGTCTCGGTGAGCTGATGATCCTTAGGGTAAAGACTATGAAATATTTCACAGTGAAAGTCCTAGAGTGAAAATTGGACTTTATTCAGAGTGAACAGTCAAAAACAAACAGTGAAGGATCTCTGAGAAATCAGGAATAAGGGAAAAAAAATATGCCTGGATCCATCTTATTCTGTCGAGGTTGATGGAGGACAGACCCTCTGCTAGACAGTAGCTTCTCTGTAAAACCAACAGGTCTAACCATTTCCCCCAAAATTTATATTATACCTTGAGTTTATACTATCATCTTAGTTACCATATTTTGATGTAATTGCTTGTGTATTTCTTTCTCCCCAAAAAGTTTTACCTTTTTTGAGACTAGGAACCCCATCTTTGCATTCCTAAGACCTAGAATCAAATCTGTAGCTAGTCTGTAAGGGTGACTAAAAGCATTATGCAGTAATAAACCCCACTTGACCATGGTTCAAGTCACACCAAGGACAATAATTGAAAATTCTCACTAGGAAACAGAGGGAGCCTTCTGTGTCACAGGGTAAATGGCTGACAGTGTGAGTCTGGAGGCAGTGAAGGATAACTCTGAGATTTACCAGCTCTTCCAGTCTTCCTGGACTCCAACCAAAACTGGGTTTGCACCCTGCAGGAGGTTCCATCAGATGTGGAGAAAGAGAATCATAATCTTGGCTGTCTTGTTCATGCATACAAAATCTCTCAGGATGTGTTTGGAAGGAACCAAGGAACAAACTCATCTCCACATGACACGCATCTGGTACACAATGAAACTTAATACATATTTTCTCAATAAACAAATAATTGGCATAATTTTCAGGGCTACATCCATGATAAACTTAGAATTAGCCAGACATCCAAGGAGGATGTTTGTTGGTAAATCTGTGGTATTCACAGTCAACAACTTTTGTGATATCTGTACAAATATTTTTGAAGTGTTTATAAATATTTATTCGTTAAAGTAATCATTTTCCATGGTGTTTGATAAAACAATAATCTTAAATGCAAACAACAGTTGTTTAAGAAACTTTTAAATTGGGAAATGGAGATTCAATCAGATTCAATCAGTTATTAATAACTTAATAAATAAGTTATTATGTATGGCTACATGTGTGCTCATGGCAAGCAGCTACTCTGTCAGTGATGGCAAACATTTTGGAGCTTTCAATGATGCAAAGTGCCCACAGAACCATGAGTGCCATAGGTTCGCCACCACTGATCTATATAAAAACATGATTAAATAAAAGATTATGAAGTACTGTTAAATGATTTATATATGGTATATGATAGTTAATCTTGAAAATAGTTCCCTTAGAAATTACATATTTGTTTCAATAATGTCATTACCCAGAACATTTTAGAGGATAGCTATTAAAATCGCATACAAAAAAAACACTGCAAACCTGGTGATATTTGATAGCCATGTTGAATTCTTGATCAAAAGCAATGTTAACCAATTTGGTCACCCGTTTCATTCACCAAATAAATGCCCAAATGACTTTGGACAGTTTTCAAAAAAGCATTATAAACTCAGATAAAGTTGTTCTACCAACAGGTATATTCAAAGTAAATGTAATCCAGGCTTGCTGGGCAGGAATTGAGAAAGAGGAGAAGAGCTAGAATTGAATACTGATATAAAGTAGTTATAGGTAAATGGCAAATAGTCAGATGAATCCTAGAAAAAAGTTTTAAAAATCTAAAAAGCATGATCATTAGATTCCATGTATGGCCGGTGCCCCTTGAAAAATATCAATAATGTTCTAGTCCTTCTTGCTGTCTGAGTTTTCAGTCTACCTCTGCTTTCTCCCTTTCCCCCAGTTATTTGACGTTGAGAGATTGAGAAATTGAAATACCATTTTAGGTTTATCTCTTTAACTCTAGATTTCTGGCTTTAAATATCACTTATGTTTCACTTTATTCCCTATCTATAACTCCCGGTCAGAATTGTCCCTTAAAATCCAGAATTGTGTATACAACTGATTACAACTCCAGTAGGAATTTACTAAGTATCTCAAAGTTAATAATGCACCAAATCACACTTCTGATGCCTGTTCCCTTAAATTTGTGTCTTTTTCTGTCTTTCTCTTCTCAGTAAATAGCCCTTCCTGCCTTCTAATTACTTAGGCTAAAATCTTTAGAATCATTTTGACTCCACTCCTTCTACTGGAAACTACATCCACTGTAGCCACAAATCCCATCAGTCTGTGTTTATACTAAACCCGGGATCCTACCACTTTCCACCACCAGCGCAACCAGTGTTGGTTCAAGCCACCATCTTCCTTTGCCTGAATTGCTGTTGGTTCTGCCCTCATTTCTTTATACTGTCTTCCTAACCTAGCAGTCAGAATGTTCCTTTGAAAACAAAAGTCAGATTTGTCATTGCTTTCTCCACAGCCTTTGGGGGAAGAGTCTCATCTGGTTTACAGTGAAAGCCATACCGGTGACCTCCGAGACCCTAACAATCTGGTTCCCTTCACCTCTCCAACCTCATGTCCTACCTCAGACTCCCTCAGGTCACTCCACTCCAGGCTCACAGACTTCCTTGCTGCTCCTTGAATTTGGCAGGCATGCTACTCCCCCGGGATCCTTGTGTCTGCGAGGCCATCTGTCTTGAATATTTCCCCAGGCTCATGACTTAATATTTTCTGTGACTCAGTGTCACATGTCCTGAATGACTATATTTACTGCCATCTTTTCAGTGAATTGTTCCTAAAAAGTTAGTAAAACTGCAAGCAAACTCTCTTTGTTATCCTTTCAAATCTTTCTATTTTATTTTCTCCCTTTTCCTGCATCACTACTAAAACCCAAATGTCTAGAATAAGTCCAAGTGCATAGTAGGTACTCAATGAGTATTTGTTAAATATAAGAATGGTAGGTTACTTCTCATGCAGACAACTAAGGATTCGGATTTTTTCACCTTCTAAAAATCATCACAACAAAGTTTAGTTTTTTCACCTCTTCTTTTAAATAACTATTTTATTTCTTCTGCTTATCTGAAAATAGCAAGAGTATTTTAATAGAAATGGCATAAAATCCATCCACAAATTCTCAATATATTTCCTTTGCTCATTTCAAGTTTTTAGCTAATTGTTATTTATTTTTTGAGCCTTTAATAGGCTCATATACCAAAGTAATCAGACTAAAGAAGTTGTGCTTGATTTCATATTAATATTAAAATGAATTGCGCCTGAAGTTCTGTTATATTTAATATTAAGTCTGATGAAAAGAATTGTTTTCTTATATTAAATCTTTGAAGTTGTGCTCTAAGAATTGCTTCCCTCCCGTGAAATCAGTAGCTAAACCAAAATTGCTAAAAGTCTTTCTCTTTCAAAATAGCACAATACAATTTACTCTAGTGAACAGAGACTGGCAAAGTATTACAATTATTTAGAAAGCTGGCCAATATTTTAAAAATAATAGCTCAATTTGTTTCAAATATGAGATTTCAAATATTTTGTGAAAGCTTTCTAGCATTTTTCTCTCTACCCCACTTTCAGATGTTCTGTCCTGTGGACTTCTACAGTGTTTTTCCATGTATTTACTCCTGACTTGAGTGTCTGTTCCCTACTCTGTCATTTCTAAATGATTTCCTTCTCCCTGCCTCAGAATAGGAACATTCTAGAGATGCTAAAGGCAATAAATGGGGTGAACCTTTTTTCTCATGTCTGCTACTCACACTAGGGCAGTCACTTTTGCTGTAACAGAATGATTATTTAGAGTGAGGAGCAAGTAATGTCAATAAAAAGTAAAACACCTCCAATATAGTATTATTTATTTCATAAGAGACAAAGTAGAAGAAAACAGTTATGATATGAGAACATACAGGAGACAGAGAGAGTAAAGTACAGCAAGTACCCCAAGCTACACACACACAGTTTAGGACAGTTTATTTTTTTTGTTGTTGTAAGAATTTCTTAGGGGCAGGGTGTGCAGCTCAGTGATAGAGCACTTGCCTAGCAAGCATGAGGCCCAGAGTGCTGTCCCCAGTACTGAAGAAACCTTAAAATTTTAATGTGTGTTAGTAGAGACAGGGATATTCTTTTTATTTATTTATTTATTTATTTATTTCTGGTTTTTCTCCGGTACCGGGAACTGAACTCACGACCTTGCGCTTGCCAGGCAGGTGCTTTGCCGCTGAGCTAAATCCCCAGCCCAGGGATATTCTTTAATAACAGGTTCCTGGGGACAACTCACAGTAATTTTGATTCCATAATAGTAGGTAGGAATATCTGCATCTGTGTTGTACAGCCATTGCACTACTCTCTTCCATTTCTGGACTTGTTTTCCTTTCTTGCTATAAAATATAGGACTGAGGATATAGCTCAGTGGCATAAGCACCTGCCTAGCAAGCTCAAGGTCCTGAGTTCGATTCCCAGTACCAAAAAAAAAAAAAAAAAAAAGGCTTGCTATAAAATATAAACATTCACGGAGCCTGTGTGTTCCAAGACCACACCTTGGGACACATTTCTTGAGGTGTTTGTATGCCATCAATTGCACTGTACACACCATGTGAGTTCTAGACTTGGCACTAAGAGAATTGCAATGCTTGCTGAAGCAGAACAAGGACAACAGAAGTTAGTAAAATACAAGACAGCTAGTGGTGGTGTTTGCCATATATAAGTAACAGTGTTCTGGGCAAAGTCTTCTGATTACATGAACACTTTTCAATTTTTTTAATAGCTAGGCTCTTAAAGGAAACTTGTTACTGTTCCATCTTGGATGTGTTTCAATCTAAATGAAAACTAACTTCTTAATGAAGGGCAATGTCATTATAACAATCACCGCATCAATGACATTTGACGTGTATTCCATGGATTAAAAGATGGCTCTTCCAGAGCTGGCTCTTAATGGCATTGATCTCCAATTTCAAAAAATAAGACACAAAGCAAAGAACAGTAAAGGCCCAAATCCAGATATTCTATGATTTCATGGTGTCTTTAGCCAAGAACACAATTGATTACCAACTCTTTTATAATGAAATGAGCCCTAATTTTTTCCATAAGGCAGTTATCACTGTCTTTTTAAAAGCCAATATCTTTAATGTCTCCTTTCTTAAACTTTTCTGTTCCCAAGAAATTTCCCTGTCCATATGGTCATTCAATTTCATTTACAGCATTCTTTCTGAAGCTTCCTTGGCTCTTACAAATTTAAGATAGAAAATGTATGTAGTGACTTAATAAAGGATAGCTTCACCCTTACCCTATAACGTGAAGATTTTCCAATATTCAAGAATTCAGCTCTTGAAACTAATTTCCTAAAAGTTTTATCCAGTCTTGAGACTTCAAAGATAATATGAATTACTGCTAAATTTATAGCTCTATTTTTAATCTTTCTCTGAATCCCATTTACATATTTCCAACTGTCAGATGGGCATTTGCACTCTGGTATCTTGCCATCTCTTTAAACTCAAAATTTCCAAAATTCGATACTCTATTTTCCACTAAAATCAGCTCTTATTCTGAACAACTTATTTCTGCGAATTGCTGAACCATCCTCATGTAACCCCTGATCAAAACTTGTCTATAATTTAATTTATATATTATGACTCATTTTAACTCACATATATAATCAACAGCAAATCTGTTTAATTTCCCTTTTATTACTTTGAATATCCTATTCAGTAGTCTGTATTAATTCATTTATGAGTTACTTTGATGGATTGCTGTCATATTCTTTTCTTTATTATTTTTCTAAGCTCTCTTGCACAGAGCTCTAGTTGTATGATATCAGTAAAAAATTTTGTATTTTCTCTGTCAATTTCAAATTCTTTGGCCTAATACACAAGTGCTACAAAATCTAGATAGCTACTTTTGATATTGCCCCCCAACACTGAACTTGAATTCCATATGAATTATTGTTGAGGACTATTTTTCAAAATGTTCCAAAACTCTGGACACTCTCCTTCTTTAAAGATGATGTAACCATCAGTGTCTATGTCTCCATATGGCTGTAGTTTTATCTACTCACTCTGGGTTTTCTTTTCTGATCACCTTCTGCCCTAACCTCTGTCTCCTCTCTATACATCCCTAAATTCTACATTTTCACCTAAAAAAGAAGCTTCTAGAGAAGAAACAATAGAAAAATGTCAAAAGTTTCATTTACACAGAACAGCAAGAAGCTTAAAGTTTAAATTCCTCAAATTACTTTAAATGATGTATTTGATTCAGGACTGTATTTTGAATACACAACGAAATTGCAAAAAGGTGAGTTAAGCAATTAAGTTCTGGTAATTTCAGAAATTTCCCTTTTTGTGCAATATGCCAGAGTACTCTTCCTTACCAGAGATATTAAAATATAGTGCTGAAAGTCCTTAAAATGCTGAAAGTCCTTGAGTTTCTGAATTAAAACTCCAAAATAACACCAGATAGGTCTTCATTTTATAAAATTTCAGGTCCTTTCATCCCATCTCTTTAGCCTCCTGAGAGCTGGAATATTCTTTTTTCTTCTACTTTTAGCTCTCTGTTTTCCTCTGAGAAACTTAGCTACCTGAAGTGGTTGACATGTGGCTCTCAGCTGTCCCTGTAAAATTCTCTTAAGTAAGCATACAAAGACACTAACTATCTAGAAATAAATATCACTTACCATTCAACCCTACAAATAAGCAAGTAGTAGATCCATGAATGGCTTATGCACTGACTTTTCTGGGTTTTTCTTTTTTTTTCTCCTTAAGTTTACTTGCTTTCTACAAATATCATGGAACGCTGTTCTGCCCATAGTGTGTGCCAAGATCTCTCAGGAACTTTTGGATACATTTCCCAAAGAAAAGTTAGAAACTTTTGCACTCATTCACAAAATAGTAAGCTGAAATTTGGCAAGTATGAGTCTTTCTCTAAGATTCTACAATGTAAGACTGAGATCAGAAGCCTTCAAAATTATGAGCTTTTAATTCTCAATCTAAATTTTATTATTGAAATCCTATTATTGTACTAACACATTGTTAGCTATACATGTTCCTGACAGACACGGCGCATAAAGATTTTATATATATATAATCATAATAAGTGACAAAGTCACTTATCATGACAGGTCTTAGGAAATATCTGAAGATATAGGTAAGCAATTCACTGTTATTATTAGATTCTGCTCTTCCTAATCTAATCTTGTTTCTACACTAGCAAATATAAGAGCATTATAAATCTAATCTCCCAATATCTGTTCTGAATAATTCTTCAACAATCACTAACAAAACATAGTCTGCCTCTCATATTTGCACCATTTTTGTTACCACCTGAGAATAGAGGCTGAGGGTTAGGAGATTTTGAATCATTTAGAGTATTCAGCAAATTTTTTTTTTAAAAAAAGTTTAATTACCAGTTGACTGATAAGCAGCCCACTAGAATTTGCTATCAAGTAGAGTCCAGAAAATAGACAAGTTCTAACGCCTTTCTTCTCTCATGTCATGAAGAGTGAGAAGTAACCAGCCTAGACAAGCCTCATGCGATGTTTCAGTCTGGAGTTCCAACTAGAATTCTGGATTTCTGGAAACAATTCAGTCTGAAGGCATTAAGTCAGAAAATGAATTCTATCTACTACCCTGTGACTTCTGTGGATTGTTAACTATACTGAATCAAAAGCTAAGTATCTTAAAATGCTATTCAGTCCATAGGAAACTGGTCCCAGGATCCTTCTGCAGATGTTCAAGTCCCTCATATAAATGGTATTGCATTTGCATATAATCTTCATGCACCTTCTTGTATAGTTTAAATCATCTCTAGATTAATTATAGTATATACTTCAATGTAAACTCTATGCAAGTAGTGTTATGCTATTTTGTTTAGGTACTAATTACAGGTAAAACAGCATGTTCACTACAGACACAATTTTTACAAACATGTTTTTGATCTGTAGTTAATTGAATCCACACCAGCAGATGTGGGAGACAGATGTAAAGGGCCCATTCTATATCTGTCTGTCTATCTGTTTGCCTGCCTGTCTATCAAGATGATTTCTACCAGTGAGTTTTTTTCTTTAAAGACAGAAACTATTTTGATCTCCTTTCTCTGTCATCTCTCAGATCACAAAAGCGCTAGACACAGAGTATTCAGATTTCTAAGTTGGTTTTTCCAAACAGGTATTGGAAATCACCTACTGATGAACACGCTCTCTTTAAAGGCAATAAATTGGTGTGAAGTAAAGCGGGGAACCATGCTAATTTAATGCCTGAAAAGCTGAAATCATCCCACTTAACATTAACCAACATACACAAGTTGGAAAGGTAATTTTGGCATTTAAGTGAAGCAAAAAAAAAAAAAAAAGCATTTTAATGGTACATTTGTACTTGTATTGTGCACTATCATTTTATAAAAAGACCCTTTTATAATGGCTAGCTTGAGTTTTAAAATTGCAAGCTGGAAGGCACATAGATGAGAAAATGCTTTTTATTATGATGTTTGGTTTCTGGCATAGGCCTCAGGTTTTGATAGTCCTCTCATATTTTAATCATTGTCAGTTGATTTCTACTAAAGCTTATTTTATCCTATGATTGGAAACGTTTAGGTTAAAAAAATGATCCAAAACTCTCATAAATTATTCATTAAAAGATAATAACCCATTAAATACAATTACATTTTGGATTAATCTACAGAAGTTTCCAAAGTGTCTGATACTTTTAAACTATCAGTATCTTAAATATTTCTTATAAAACTTGATTTGAAGTGCTATGTATTCTTTGCTTTCCTTTGTAGAGAGTCAAGACAGGGTAATAGTTAAACACATAGGTTCCATAGAATAAAAAATGACACTGGTTTGAAGCCTTTTTTAAGAGAAGGCCTCAAATATAGTAAATCCTTGCTTGTGGCAGCTATTATTATTGTTGTTATTATTCTTATTGATGTTGTATGAAAAATAGATGTTTTCGATATTCATATGAAAATACTGAAGGGTTGCTGACATACCTTATAATGTTAGGTTATTTTATTTACTTCATACGCAATTTAGATTGTGCTTTTTTTGTACCAACATGCTGTTGCTTTTTTCCTCTCAGTTTTGGTACTGTAACTAAGTTTCCAAGATGCAATTTATTTCTTGCCCAAAAGAACAATAGTAGCATTGAAAGCTGTTTGATATGCTATATACAATCTGGGGCAATAAGTGAACTCAGAAAATTGGCATGTTAAATTATTCATCCAACTAAAACAATAGCATTTAGAGGTCAGCACTGTGGAAAAAGAATTAATAATTTGCAAGCATGCATTTTAAGTTTTGCAACTTAAAATGAAAACCAAGCTAAGAATCCACTATATTTCACTCTCAAGTTGAGAGTGAAGAAATCTTTCCACATGTAAGTCCTATGAAGATCCTAAATCCTTCATTTCTAATATCTCATTAGTGGGATTCTTTCTAAACTTATTTTTAAATGATTCTTCAAATGTCACTAAAATCCTTTCAAAGTCTGGTAAATTTAAAAAATAGGAAATCATTTTATGAGCCATTCATAATACAGTAGTGCTTTCAAAATACCTGACAAAGTAGTGTCATGTTCAAGGTATATGAATCCTTCTTTAAGGAATTTTTTGGATCAATGTAGATCCATCCAGCCTCCAACCTCCCGACAGAGGTCCCTGTGAGACATCTCTCTGTTCAATATGAATGCCTTAGTCAATGTAAGCAGGATAAAGAAAAGTGTCTATTTATTCTTGTTTCTTCTTTGTATTTTATAAAAGAGGCAAGATAAGAAGAATTTACATAGTTGAGAGAAAGCGCAGGAATATAGCATAAAAATATATATTCAGCTCATACTTTACCATCTCTACAACCTCCAGGAAATGGATAAGACATCATCGTCTTCTAGGAGATTTAAGTAGCCTATTGTGCTCATTGGCTAATAAATTTTCTAGGAGTTAAGGAATAGAAATCCAAAGAAGAGATAAAGACTATCACAGGAAGGTACACACGACAAATTAGAGAACAAGTCTCCTGATAAATGTGAGGAGGAGGATGTCTGTAGATTCATTTGGGGACTGAGAGCAAATAATGATGTATCAGTACAATCCAGCTCCAGTAGAAATGGTAGGGATGGGTAATGTAAGATAGTAAGCATATATTGTCTAACGTCATTTCAGAGATAAAATATAGTCAAAGCTTTAGAAGTGGAGCGCTGATATATTGGTCGTTACAAGCAGACCTTGACATGATTACTCCTGATCAGACATAAAACCCAATTAATTTGCAAGATAAAAATCTATCAGAGGTATGTATTTTAATGACTAGTTATTCAGGGTAAGCAGCTAGGACAGACTTCTCAAACAGAACTCAAGATACATCCACTTCATTCTGCATGGATCTTTTATGGTCTATTATTACACTAAGAAATGTTGCCATAGATAAGATGAACTACTTCATTGAAATCTTAATTATTAACTCTTAATTTTTATATTGCATTATAAATAATGATTCAGTAAGAAATTGAATAATTTCAAAGAGGTAGACATTATTAACACACATTTAACTTAGTCATTTGATAGTTATTTATAATTGTGTTATATAGCACCTTCTCAATTAATGATGGATCACATATATAATTGTTGTCCCATAAAATTATAATGGAGCTGAAAATTTCCTGTAGCGTAGCAAATGCAGAGGTGTAGAAAAGGCAAAGGAAAAAAACTGCAAGGAAAACAAGAGTTCCTACCCAAAATTTCCTTATAAAGGAGTTTGGCAGAAGTTTCTGCAGACATCAACAAGTTCCTTTAATAGAAAAGAATGTTCATTCATAGAAAAGAATGTTCATAGTGCATTACCTGCAAGCAAAATACCATGAGCATATTTCTGAATAAAGTGAGACTTCAAGAGTCTTGGGCAGGCCCTTAGGAGAGATTACAGAAGAAAGTGTTGTTATCCCAGAATGACGGCTCTGTGCATGTTATTGTCCCTTAAAACCTCCCTGGTGGAAGGCAGTAATACTGTTGCTCCAGAACCTAAGTCAATGTGTGTGTTTGGTGACTTTGCTTTTCACAACAACAACAAAAATAGTCTGATATGGATTAGCTAGAGCTACAGAGAGAGAGACAGACAGTGAAAGAGAGATGACATGTAGCTCTCAAAGAAAAATCTAGGATGCAGCTACATTAGTAGATGCTCAGTATAGCAAAGCTACAAAGAATCAGGAGGATCTTTTGTTAAAAAATTTCCAATCTCATAAGGAAGATGTTGTACATATAAAATTGTTTTTTAGAACATAGGAAATGATAAATATTTTCATAGCAATTCTAAATAGAGTTCAGAGTCTGTAGGAGAAGCAAACAACAACAAAGTTTGGATGATTTCACATCACCTTGTGAGCGCAGTAGAAACACTAGCCAGAATTCTAGAAGAAAGTAGTGATGCTACTTTACATCAATCCACCATGAAAGAAGAATCCTCCAGATGACATGAAGAAATCTGTTCAGATGGTGTGGTGGGGGGAGGGGAACTGAGAACACTGTATCCCCAAGCTTTTTGATTCTTCAGGTTAGAGCTAAGTTTTTATAAAGGTCTAAATTAAAACCAAAGGTTAAAAAAAAAATCCCAGGGTAAAGCACTTAAACAAGTAAGGGTTATTTTAAAGTAAAATTAAATTTGCATAAATATAAGGGCAAAGAGTAGAGTAAGAAATATTTAGTGAAGGGACAGCTAGTCATTTCTTTAAAAAGTCATTTGAGATCTTTAAGAAACAGGATAGGATGCTGGGAAGAAGGGAAAAGACAGCTACACGGAGAGAAAAAACAAGTTTCTCTTAAAGACTTGAGAAATCAATGTCTTCATTTAAAGCTGTTAAACGACAAATGAAACCTGCTGCTCACATCTAATGCAACCCTGGCTTCAATTGAAACCTCTGCTCTTCTATCATTCTAAAAACTCCAGGACACCCAAGGACCTTGTCAAGGACACTAACTTGAAAACAGAAGCCCAGAGCTTGAGTGTGACTAAATGCATGGTGAAAACTGATGCACCCTTTATGTAACTTGGAGTTTATTCTTCAAGCAAGAGAAAACCCTTGAATGTTTTGAGAAGAGAAGTAAAATGATCAAAGCAGCTTCATGGGAAAGTTAAATATACCAGTGATATACAGAAGGAAGGAAAGAAAGAATTGCAGGAAGACTTAAAGGATTAAAATCCAGTTGCAATAATTCAGGAATCGCAATCTGTACAGGCAGACGACTGGAGCAAGCAGGAGGGAGACTGACCTTGGTGTAAAGTTGGATCTGAGCATCAAGAACAAGGGAGGCACCAAGGAAAAGAATATTATTTCAGGGGCTGGGGATTTAGCTCAGCGGCACAGTGCCTGCCTGGCAAGCGCAAGGTCGTGAGTTCAATTCCCAGTACTGGAGAAAAACCAAAAAAAAAAAAAAAAAAGAATATTATTTCACAGAATTTTAGTGAATTGCAAAAATCTGTTTTGGAGTAGTGAGGAAGGATAGAAGATAGATTTGATTAAAGTTTATCAAGTGTAAGAATGCCGAGAAGAAATTCAGGTGGAAATAGCCACAGATCACTAAGCCAGTGTTCAACTAGAGATTCATATTTGGGAGTCATTCTAAATCAGTGGTTCTCAATTGGGGTCAGGCTTTCCTCCAAGGTGACATTTAGCAACGTCTGGAGACATTATTGGTTGACAAGCAGGAGGATGGTGTTTCTGGCATCTAATTGGCTCAGGCAGGAATGTTGGAAAAATATCCCACAATCCACTGAACAGCCCTCTGCAGCAAAGAAGTAAATGAGTTAATCTGGCTCCAAATGTCAACAGTGCCAAGGTTGAGAAACTGCTCTACATAAATGTCCTAATGTATTAAGGATAACTTGTCAATCAGTGCATATAGTATGTTCATGTATAATTTATAGGAAATAAAAATAGTACTAACATTTACCGAGCCTTGCTCTGTCTCAAGCACTGTCCTCACACTGTATGCTTATTTTATTTAATCTGTAAAATCCTCTGAGATGAGCATCATTTTTAACTGCTTTTAGCAGATAAGGGAATTTGTCCATTAAAACGTTCTGCTTCTTATGTATTAATGTTCACCAGAGAAACAAAATCAAGGAGATACAGACAGGTACAGAAAATGATCCAGTTAAAGATATAGATATAAGCAGATTTATTATGAGGAATTGGTTTATGATATTAAAAGAGACCGAAAAGTCCCACGGTCTACAAGCCAGAAATTCAAGGAAGCTGGTGGTTTAGTTTCAGCCTAAGTCCAAAAATTTAAGAGCCAGAAAAGCAGATGGTGT